GCGCAGATGGTAAGGAAGCCTTGTAATTAATTGGTCCTCACACCTGCAGTTGATGGGCATAAATGAAAATCAGGACAAAGACTCAGCCCCACAGCATTCTGGCTGCCTGGCTATATGTGTAGCTCTGGGTAGAGTTAGTCACAGAAAGAAGACAAGATCGCTTCCTCCTGGAGTTTATAGTCTCACCAAGAAGATAAAACATTTTCAAAACATTTAAATGAGCCTAAAAATGCCTTTAAGGAGTTTGCTTGCATATGTTCATGGAGCACAGAAAGCAGTCTTATAAAAGGTCAGAACAGCTGGCTGGCCCCAAACCCTGCCTTCCCAGGCATGTGCACACTCAAGAATTAAGGCCAGAAAAACTCAAGCTAAAAATAACTTTGTGTCTAGTTAGCTTTTGGGAACTGTGTAAAAAGGCAAAAAGAGCATTCAGACGTTCCAACTGGAAACAAGTTTTTCCAACTGGGAAAAAAAGAAAAAATTGATTCTCTTGAACTAAGAGTCAGATCTAGCTATTTTTCAGGTCCCTGAAACCAGCTTCAGACATCCTTTTTAAGGTCTCCACTTGCCCTTGACAAGATTTATCTGGCTCGCAGTCTCCTAATAGCTGCTTGGAGCAAAAACAAAGTCACGCAGGGCTAGAGGCCAAGTACAAAGATTCTTGTAGCTGGTGTTTCCAAACAACCAAAAAAGGCATGAAGATTTTCACGGCACTTCCTTAGAATTCAGAACCAAGGCCTGGGTTTTAAGCCCAGGATGTTGTGCAGCATCCTGCTGCATTCTCCTGGGTTTCAAGACAGAATGGGACTCAGAAAAGTCAGGCCTCCGATCAGAAGTTACCAGGAGCTCAATGAAGCAATGATAAAAATATTCCCTGAGTCACCAGTTCCATGCCTGGTGCTGTGGACAGGAACCTGAGCCTTCAACATTGCCACACCCCAAACCTCATGAACACACGTTTCCTTGAGACAGATTTGTTTAAAAGACAAGACCCCACATTCAGTGCAACTAGAGAGCCCTTCAGTTGTGCCTTTTAGATCCCAAGTTCATGCTGTTAAAGCAAGTCTGGTTCAGGGGAGGGAGAAACTGCACATGAGAACAGCCAAGGAGATATATTTGCTCTTCCACATGCCATGTCCTGTCTCCATTTTGGCTTCTTGGGTGACCATGGTTTATAAAAAAATTTTCCTCTTTAAGTTTTCTGTCGAAAAACTTGAACTCTCCACCCAGTTCTTCAAGGATCTGGTTTCTCGTGCATCGTTGTGCACTGAGTATTCTGCATTTATTCCCAACTCTTACCCTTAAGCCGTGGATGGGGTGGGATGTCACCCCATGGTAGATAGTGTGAGAATTGAGTTGCATTGTAGGAGGCTCAGCTGGTGTCCACAGCATTGCTTGTTCGAGGAGGGGGGGGTCCTCCCTCCACCCCGCCCCCACTGAATAAGAAGAGCATTTCTTTGCACAGACACGATACATTAAGTCTAAGTATCTGTTAATACTGTGTAACATCTATAGTAAGTCCGATGATCTATTAATACTATGTAACATCTACAGTAAGTAAGTATCTGTTAATACTATATAACATCTACAGTAAGTCTAAGTATCTATTAATACTATATAACAAATATGATTTTGGGGATTCTGTCTGCAAGTTCTTGGCCAAATGCCTATTTTTAACATTGTGAAGATTCAAATAGAACTATAGTGTCTTTTTAAGACATCAGAGAGTATTTGCCCTGGCCAGGAGCTCAGTTGGTTACAGTTTCATCCAGACACACCAGGGTTTAGGGTTCCATCCCCAGTCAGGACACATGCAAGAATCAACCAATGAATGGTCTCCCCCCTCTCTCTAACATCAATAATAAACATTTTTTGAAATAAAAATCATAGACTATTTAAGAATTTACACAGTCTTTAAATTTAAAAAAAAAAAAAAATTCATTTTAAAAAAACTCAATGGAAGACTGTCCCAAAGGCCATTTTTCATTCATTTCTCATTTTCACTTACCCCCAAAGGACCTGAGGTGACTTGCAGTGAAGATGCATATGTGTTTGTATTATCAGATAAATGTAAAAGAAATCAAAGCCCAGGATAAAGCCCTTCACTTCATTCAAAGCCTAAATTCAGTGCTTGTTTTCCCGACACCCAGGCTTGAAGGGTAACAAAATGGGTTAGCAAGCCTTCAGTTTCTGATAAAACAAAAAAATATATTTTTTCTATTGTGTTTCCTATACCAAAAACGAAAGCACAGAATTTGAAACCTTAAAATTAACTACCTTTTCTAAATTGGAGAGTTACACTTGAGACAACATTTTAACACACTGCGCTCCGTTAGTGTCTTTGTCGCATCTTTTATATCCGCGCGGTGCCGAGTAGCTCCGCCCTGCGCTGTGGCGTGCGGGTGTGACGTCACGCTGACGCCGCGTTTCCGGTTTTGCAGTACACGCCGGACCCCGTGGCCGGGCCCGGGGCCGAGGCCGACCCCGCGGAGGTGACCTTTCCCGGCTGCGCCTGCCTCCACCGGCCGTGCGCCGCAGGCACGTGCCC